GTCCCTTATTAATTTGTTTTATTCACAGATAGTTCACAAATATTCACAAAGATATTCATATATATATATATATATTATATATATATATATATATATAATATATATATATATATATATATATATAGGTTCGTGCCAATAGGCTCTGAGACTCTGGGCGCCTGGGGTAAATGTGCACTTAAGTTCCTGAAGGAGCTGGGCGAGGACTCATTGGGAAGACTAGAGGGACCCAAGAGCGGCCAGTTTTATGTTCCAGCGCCTCAGTGTCGCTGTTCAGAGGGGAAATGCGTGCTGTATCTTGGGTACGCACCCGACCCACGAGGAGCTGGACGAGGTCTTCGAACCACTGATTGTTATATGGGTTTGTATAAGTGTGTGTTTTCTGAAAACTGTAGCATTGCAATAAAACATCAAATAAAAAAAATAATAGGGGTGGTAGGAGAGGAAAAAGATTAAAGTATTCAGTGAGAATCCACAAGGTCTTCTCTGAACACTATTTATTTTCTTCTTCGAGGATGTGGGTCCCTTTAATTAAACCAGTGGTGGTACCCCTAAATATATATATATATATATATATATATATATATATCTATTATATATATATATATATATATATATATATATATATATATATATATATATGTCGTACCTAATAGCCAGAACGCACTTATCAGCCTACTATACAAGGCCCGATTTGCCTAATAAGCCAAGTTTTCATGAATAATATATTTTCTCTATTTTTTTTCTTATGAAATGATAAAGCAACCCATTTCATTATGTATGAGGTCAATTTTTTTTATTGGAGTTAAAATTAACGTAGATATATGACCGAACCTACCAACCCTACCTAACCTAACCTAACCTATCTCTACAGGTTAGGTTAGGTTAGGTAGCCGAAAAAGTTAGGTTAGGTTAGGTTAGGTAGGTTAGGTAGTCGAAAAATAATTATTTCATGAAAACTTGGCTTGTTAGGCAAATTGGGCCTTGCAAAGTAGGCTGAGAAGTGCGTTCTGGCTACTAGGTACGATATATATATATATATAATATATATATATATATATATATATATCTATATATATATATATATATATATATATATATATATCGACACTAAATTAAATGTTTATATGAGTAAAAATATTTTTTGTTATGGAATTTTCGTTGTTTTTTGCCGCTGTGAATAATAAGTTTGATGTATGTAGATGTATGTAGATGTATGTAGATGTGTATATGTATAGATGTATATGTACATGTATATGTATGAAGTGTACACAAACTAGGGGTCAACTCATGATAGGGATGGAGTATGAAGGATCAGAATCTCGACTGATTCTGATGTTTGCTCAACATCAGAATCATCTCCCTCCCCCCCCTCCCCCCCCCCTCCCTGGTTTAAGGAGATAGTGTTTAATTTATAATTGACATTTATTTCAGATTATTATATAATCTATAATAAACGACACTCAATGGTGCTTAAGGGTACTACATACACCTTGACGTAACTCACTTTAATAGCTGAGTTATTACGTCTCTGACCACCTGTTCTCTGACCACCTGTTCTCTGACCACCTGTTCTCTGACCACCTGTTCTCTGACCACCTGTTCTCTGACCACCTGTTCTCTGACACCTGTTCTCTGACCACCTGTTCTCTGACACCTGTTCTCTGACACCTGTTCTCTGACCACCTGTTCTCTGACACCTGTTCTCTGACACCTGTTCTCTGACCACCTGTTCTCTGACCACCTGTTCTCTGACACCTGTTCTCTGACCACCTGTTCTCTGACCACCTGTTCTCTGACCACCTGTTCTCTGACACCTGTTCTCTGACCACCTGTTCTATGACCACCTGTTCTCTGACCACCTGTTCTCTGACCACCTGTTCTCTGACCACCTGTTCTCTGACCACCTGTTCTCTGGCCACCTGTTCTCTGACCACCTGTTCTCTGACAACCTGTTCTCTGACACCTGTGTCTCTGTCCACCTGTTCTCTGACCACCTGTCTATGACCACCTGTTCTATGACCACCTGTTCTCTGACCACCTGTTCTATTACCACCTGTTCTCTGACCACCTGTTCTCTGACCACTTGTTTTTCTGACCACCTGTTCTCTGACCACCTGTTCTATGACCACCTGTTCTCTGACCACCTGTTCTCTGACCACCTGTTCTCTGACACCTGTTCTCTGACCACCTGTTCTCTGGCCACCTGTTCTCTGACCACCTGTTCTATGACCACCTGTTCTCTGACCACCTGTTCTATGACCACCTGTTCTTTAACAGCTATTGGAGGTGAATAGTCTCTACTATCCAATACTTTTTGAATAGTCCTGATGGTCATGTGGTCACGTTACTGTGTACGTTTAGGGGTGATCCTGGACGGCATGGGTTCGAATCCTGGCCGGGTCAATTAGAGTTCTTAATGATATATATACATATATTCTCATATACACGCACAAACACTCCTATACAAACTAAAAACACCATTTCTCGGCCCTTCCGTAATGGAAAAATTCTGCGTTTCTCCCGGAAGATAATTTAACACCAAGCCGACACTCTGGGAGCCATATCAAGGACATTCAAGATCCCCCGTGGACACACAGACGATATCTCCAGCAAATCTTCGCATCTCGAGGCGTCTTCAGGCCCATTAAGTGCCTCAAGAAATCTTGCATGGCATCTTATGGGTGCCAGACTGAATGTTGCGCTGCCTAGTGGAGGAGGGGGCTTAACTACTCCCAAGAATGTGGCACTAACTATCGTGCTATAGTCAGTGTGGCACTGTCTGGCCCCTGGAGGTGTGGTAACTATTTGGCACTAACTGCCAAGGAGGCAATTACGGACTATGAGCAACGAACTGTCACTGGCAAGCAAAGAAAGAGTAGCTAGTACTAACTACCCAGGAGACAATAACTACCACTAACTACCCAGGAGGCAATAACTACCATTAACGACCCAGGAGACAATAACTACCATTAACTACCCCAGGAGACAATAACTACCATTAACGCTCTAGGGGGCAATAACTACCATAACTACCCCAGGAGACAATAACTACCACTAACTACCCCAGGAGACAATAACTACCACTAACTACCCAGGAGACAATAACACCACTAACTACCCAGTAGACAATAACTACCACTAACTACCCCAGGAGACAATAACTACCACTAACTAACCCCAGAGACAATAACTACCACTAACTACCCAGGAGACAATAACTACCACTAACTACCCAGGAGACAATAACTACCATTAACTACCCAGGAGACAATAACTACCACTAACTACCCAGGAGACAATACTACCATTAACTACCCAGGAGACAATAACTACCACTACTACCTAGGAGACAATAACTACCACTAACTACCCAGGAGACAATAACTACCACTAACTACCCAGGAGACAATAACTACCATTAACTACCCAGGAGACAATAACTACCACTAACTACCAGGAGACAATACTACCACTAACTACCCAGGAGACAATAACTCCCATTAACTACCCAGGAGACAATAACTACCATTAACTACCCAGGAGACAATAACTACCATTAACTACCCCAGGAGACAATAACTACCATTAACTACCCAGGAGGCAATAACTACCATTAACTACCCAGGAGACAATAACTACCCAGGAGACAATAACTACCCCAGGAGACAATAACTACCATTAACTACCCAGGAGACAATAACTACCATTAACTACCCAGGAGACAATAACTACCATTAACTACCCAGGAGACAATAACTACCCAGGAGACAATAACTACCACTAACTACCCAGGAGACAATAACTACCATTAACTACCCAGGAGACAATAACTACCATTAACTACCCAGGAGACAATAACTACCACTAACTACCCAGGAGGCAATAATTACCATTAACGACCCAGGAGACATTAACTACCACTAACTACCCAGGAGACAATAACTACCATTAACTACCCAGGAGAGACATAACTACCACTACTACCCAGGAGACAATATACTACCATTAACTACCCAGGAGACAATAACTACCACTAACTACCTAGGAGACAATAACTACCATTAACGACCCAGGAGACAATAACTACCACTAACTACCTAGGAGACAATAACTACCACTAACTACCCCAGGAGAAACATAACTACCACTAACTACCCCAGGAGACAATAACTACCACTAACTACCCCAGGAGACAATAACTACCACTAACTACCCCAGGAGACAATAACTACCACTAACTACCCCAGGAGACAATAACTACCACTAACTACCCCGGAGACATAACTACCACTAACTACCTAGGAGACAATAACTACCATTAACTACCCAGGAGACAATAACTACCATTAACTACCCAGGAGACAATAACTACCACTAACTACCTAGGAGACAATAACTACCACTAACTACCCCAGGAGACAATAACTACCACTAACTACCCCAGGAGACAATAACTACCACTAACTACCCCAGGAGACAATAACTACCACTAACTACCTAGGAGACAATAACTACCATTAACTACCCAGGAGACAATAACTACCATAACGACCCAGGAGACAATAACTACCATTAACTACCAGGAGACAATAACTACCATTAACGACCCAGGAGACAATAACTACCACTAACTACCCAGGAGACAATAACTACCACTAACTACCCAGGAGACAATAATACCATTAACGACCCAGGAGACAATAACTACCACTAAACTACCCAGGAGACAATAACTACCATTAAACTACCCAGGAGACAATAACTACCACTAAACTACCCAGGAGACAATAACTACCATTAACTACCCAGGAGACAATAACTACCACTAACTACCCAGGAGACAATAACTACCATTAACTACCCAGGAGACAATAACTACCACTAACTACCTAGGAGACAATAACTACCATTAACGACCCAGGAGACAATACTACCACTAACTACCTAGGAGACACTAACTACCCACTAACTACCCCAGGAGACAATAACTACCACTAACTACCCCAGGAGACAATAACTACCACTAACTACCCCAGGAGACAATAACTACCACTAACTACCCCAGGAGACAATAACTACCACGAACTACCCCAGGAGACAATAACTACCACTAACTACCCCAGGAGACAATAACTACCACTAACTACCTAGGAGACAATAACTACCATTAAACTACCCAGGAGACAATAACTACCATTAACTACCCAGGAGACATAAAACTACCACTACTACCTAGGAGACAATAACTACCCACTAACTACCCCAGGAGACAATAACTACCACTAACTACCCCAGGAGACAATACTACCACTAACTACTACCCCAGGAGACATAATACCACTAACTACCTAGGAGACAATAACTACCATTAACTACCAGGAGACAATAACTACCATTAACGACCAGGAGACAATAACTACCATTAACTACCCAGGAGACAATAACTACCATTAACGACCCAGGAGACAATAACTACCACTAACTACCCAGGAGACAATAACTACCACTAACTACCCAGGAGACAATAACTACCATTAACGACCCAGGAGACATAACTACCACTAACTACCCAGGAGACAATAACTACCCATTAACTACCCAGGAGACAATAACTACCACTAACTACCCAGGAGACAATAACTACCATTAACTACCCAGGAGACATAACTACCACTAACTACCCAGGAGGACAATAACTACCACTAACTACCAGGAGACAATACTACCATTAACTACCCCAGGAGACAATAACTACCACTAACTACCTAGGAGACAATAACTACCATTAACGACCCAGGAGACAATAACTACCACTAACTACCTAGGAGACAATAACTACCACTAACTACCCCGGAGACAATAACTACCACTAACTACCCCAGGAGACAACTACCACTAACTACCCCAGGAGACAATAAAACTACCATTAACTACCCAGGAGGAGACAATAACTACCACTAACTACCCAGGAGACAATAACTACCACTAACTACCTAGAGACAATAACTACCATTAACGACCTAGGAGACAATAACTACCACTAACTACCCAGGAGGCAATAACTACCACTAACTACCCAGGAGACAATAACTACCACTAACTACCAGGAGACATAACTACCATTAACGCTCAAGGGGGCAATAATGAACAAAACTTTTCCCGGTGGAA